ATTGGAAGACGTTGAACAATCGAATGGCCTGCTAGATCCCCCGATATGAGTCCTCTCGATTATGTAATGTAAACATAGCAAGAAAGTAAAGATTAAAATAAAGGTTTGTAGCATAGGGGAGAATAATAATCATTTTAATGATTATTATATATTCCAAATCAAATAGGGATAATTAATACAGTAAAGTATACATTTTAAATTACACAAAGAAATTGACCTAGTTAGTGCATTGTTTGATAATTGTTTAAACGTAGAAAAAGCACGTCAAACAGAAACTATTGTTGTAAAAATAACACCGCTCGTGACCCAAATAACGCATAGGTGATCAACTCAGTGAAAACACGACCTTGGCACTATAACCGGCATCGAAAATACTAGCTCAATAAAAACAAGAAGAACAAAGGAGTCGGGCAGTCAGTAATAGCGAGTCAGTCAGTAATAGCGGGGCACCGTGACTGGCCGCCCAGGCAGTATTGCCGGCATCGGGTCGGACGCGATAGCGTCCAGTTCGCGATCAGTAATAGGCAGTCGGTACGAGAGTATCACCAGGTGCGGATTACGCGCGATTGTTATATTTTGACTAGGTATAGTTCCGTATAAGTGTCGGGTACTGAAAGAAATCCGATTTCTGTAGGAACTGAAGGGCGTAGCGAGATTTTAGAATTAGCTAGAGCCTAAATACGCGAAAGGTAACAAAATTCTATATACTAACCCGAGTAAATTATAGTATTACAGATTGTCACCCCTTTACTTTCTTGCTAAGATCTCTTCTCGTCTCTCTTCGCGCCGAACGAGTTATTATTACTTATATCTGACAGTTTGTTAACTTAATTGTAAACCACATAGTATATTCAATACATTTGTAGACTCGAAAATTGGTTTTATGTTCCTTCCGACCGATTCAGACAGAGACCAGAAGAGTACCAAATTTCGGCTTATACATTTATCCGGCTTCCAAAGTAAGCCCATAGACTCAAACTCTTTACAGGACCTGAGACCTAGAAGTCCTTAACCCCTATTCCGAAGTTCCTTACCGTCTCGTAAATCCACGAAGGCGAGCCAGCCCTCCAGACTAGTGGGACCAGTATTCCTTGCAGCCGCTCGCAGGGATAAGCATCCTTTAAGGTTCATTACCAGTATATTACAGTGGTAACAGCGCTGTACAGTGGTAAAGATTTTCTCACCCTCTAGTTCCAGATATTACAATAGGGGATATAACTCCCGCGAGTTGTACAGTGGTGACAGCGGAGCCCCAGTATATTACAATTACTTCCTATGGTTATTTAAAATCTAAAGTATAATTTACTAGACCAAATAGTATTTCTGATTGAAAAGATGGAATAACGGAAGCAATTAACAAAATAACTCCCGGAGTCGTACAAAATGTTGTACGAGAATTCCAAAATCGCTTCGGTATTGTCAAAAAGTGAATGGTGGTCATTTTTAACATTTAATTTAATTGTAAATTACATTGAAAAATACATTCTAAATATTATGTGACATCATTATCTTCATTCAACCTAAAGTTTTGTAGTAAAGACATTATCAAAGTTTTACATTTTAAAAATCACTTTTCTAGTTTATATTTGCACCAAACTTAAAAAACTTAATACTATTGAACAGAGGACTAAAATCCCTTTCTAACAAGGTGCTACACGACCCCTTTTACTATTTAAAATTTTCGAGGGAGTGCTTATAATTTAAAGGGGGTGCTGGAGGGGGATATTATTTTCATACTGTAAATTGTCTATTTAAAAATAAAAATCGACCTGTTTCAGGTTTTTTTCACATAGTACTTAATAACGCTAAAAATGAATTTATTCCATACATATGGATCGCATGGTATAAATATGTATTTTTATTATCATTGTTTTACTTTTCTTCAAAATGGACCGACGATATTATTGTTTTTTCCTGTTGTGCTGTTGAACCATTAAGGATTTTAAAAAAAGATTTTTTTATCGACTAAATCATCTTCTGATTGAGTGTATATTGGTAATATTGGGATATTATGCTGATGTAGTTTGATATTCACTGTTAAGAAGTTTTTAGTGACCATTTCGGGGTATAATTTAATTTTTTAATAATGATTTTATTAAAATCGATATTCTTTTTTTATTCCCTCGTTTAGCCTTAAGCGATCTTTACTTCTTAATAAATAATAATTTAAACGAACTATGAAACTCCAACTGCCAATATCAATATAAATAGTCGAAATTTGCCTGTACTTGACAGTATTCTCTTTCAAAGTAATATTTTGCAATTTCAAAAGCAAATCCCAACGCTTGAAGGTTCAGACATGTTTAAACTCATCCTAATATCGTTTGTATCAAAGCAAGGCCTTAAAAAGACTGCATCTCGTACAGACATGCCACGAGAGACCGGTGTCAGAGCATCGACGCCAGATAGAAAAGAAAAGTTGCTTTAAATTGACTTTTATAGATCTGAACTCGCTTGTCGGCAGAGGAAACATACTCTGACATGTTATGTATTGTGTAAAATGTATGGCGCATAAAGTTAGAAGTGACGTGTGTCCGGGACCGACGAGTGACGTTAAAAAAGATTGATGTGCAATCACCATAAAAACCGAATAACTCCGTTGTATACAGAAGGCGGTGGAAGTAAACATTTAGAGAGGGCGGAGGCTGAAGAAAACTGCTTTATCGATAACCGAGAAGATTAAATCTAAGCTTTTCAATAAGAACGCTTGATTGATCAATTGAGTGTTTGTTGTGATACAGGTTTCAATTTATCGTAGCGAAAAAAGTAGTGTGTAACATAAATAAATGAGAATGAAGTGGGGAAAATAAATTTTTGCTTTAAAATAATACTAAGTAGTATTTATATTTACCTTTTTAACCCTACATAGTCGCACAGTTTTGTTCATAAATCGTTACGACGTTTTTGTCATTAGATGATTTGTGATATTTTTTCAACTTTATTTATTGAAATCTGTTATTAATATAACCATAAACAATGTGACGATCAATATCAATATCACGATGTCAAGACAACGGGGTACTACCGAATTTCTTACGAACGAATCGATTCATCAGAATATGTCAAGCTAATAGAATTTATGAATGCATGGAAAAGGCATTATTACGAGAACTAATACACGACACTAGACAAAATTTGGCGAAGGTTAACAAGGAGCTTCTCCATTTGTTTTACGTTTTGAGTAGCAGGTGGAAATATGCAGATTGGAATAAGATTGAATCCATTTGTTAAAGTATGGTAAATGATCCATTTGGTAAATGAAAAATGAACTAGGAAGGAACACTGAACACCAGAAAAATAAATACGAACGCTAAACCAAACATAGGGAGGTAGAATCAAGACAAAATACAGTAAGAACAGTGGTAAATCTTTCAGATGAGATTTTAACTCCAGCCGAAACATCATTGGTAGCCAAAGGGGGAAATTTTGCGTTTGCACCTAAAGTTATACCCAAAGATATCATCGCTAATATCAAGCCTGCGATTCGCAATTCAGCGATCAAAACAGCTGTAGAAATAAGGACAGAATCAGCGAGAATTTTGCACAAAGCTAGGATACCAAAAAATAACCTGAGTCACCAAGAAATACGTGCCATAAAATCGTTAAACGCAGACAAAAGATGTTTTAATTTTACTAGCAGACACGGAAAACGCCACCGTCGTAATGAAGACAACCTATCACAAAACAAAAATACAAAATCTTGTAGATCCTGCGATACATAAAAGACTTAAAAAAGATCACAAAGCAGTCACCCTACGGAAAATCAATAGATTTATTAAATCTTCGTCTATACCAGAGGATACAAAGCCAAGAATATGTTACAGCGAAGCAGTCCCACCACGCTTGTATGGCTTGCCAAAAATACACAAAGACGATGTACCTCTACGCTCTATTGTGAGCTCCATAGGGTCTCCGTATTACAGCCTTGGTAAATATCTGGCTGATAATCTACAATCGCACATAGAAAAAACGATGCCTTTGTAAAAGGCTCCGTCCATTTCATCGAGAAGATCAAAGGAATAACTCTACAGGAAGCTGACATTCTTATTAGCTTTGATGTTTTTCCCTATTTACAACATGTTTTCCCTTACAAGTTCCCCTTGAGATGTTTTGAACAGAGAAAGATCAATTAGCGTTTCTAGATGTATTGTTCAATCAAAAGGAAGGGCATTTAGAAGATAAAGTGTATCAAAAACCGACACACACGGACAGATACCTAAACAGGAACTCAAATCATCATGCAGGCCAAACACAAGGTATCATCAAAACTCTGGCGAGAGGGTGAAGAGAATTTTTGAACCACAGCATCTGTAAAGTAAACTTCTTTATATTGAAAAAGCACTCACCTCTAATGGTTTTACCAAAAGAGAAATACATAAAGCAATTAAGAACGTTTCTAGAAGAAAGGACCAAGAAACAGCATGCATAGGCAAAGCGTTCTTGCCCTATATGTCGAGGGTAACAGACAGAATTGGGCGAATACTTAAAAAAGCCAATGTAAAGACCGTTTTCAAGCCTACTTTAAAAATTAAGGACTGTCAAAGATCAGTGAAGGACAAACACGACCCATTAGCAACGGCCGGAGTATATCGAATATCATGCACATGTGAAATGCATATGTATACGATATGTGTTCACAATGTTTGAATTATACACGTAAAACTATAAATTATTAAAAAGTTAAGAATAATGTTATATTACAAATTAAGGAATTAATTTAAGATTAAACAGTAATGTAACAATAAATATAGTATTACTGTTGTTTTACGTTCTTAGATATACTATTTTAAATACATGTATTTAGAATATTTCAGTGATTAATGTTATTATTAAATATACTATTAAATTAATATTCAGTTTGTGCGATATTCTCAAAAGTAATTAAGGGCTAACTAACTATGTAGTTAGGCGGTAAACACCGATTTTCGATAAACGACCGACTCCTAATCCCTTGACGTATGTTTTTCACCCGCTAACAAGTTGTCTTTTCTTTGATCCAGGTCGGGAAGGTCTGGAATCGTCCGTCTTGGGTCTGGAATTCGTCGTGCGGCACAAGCACTTCAAAAGAGGCAACATGAAGTTGAAATGTCTGGCGACGATCGCCACACTTTACCTCGTCAGCAACGAGGAGAGCGTTGAAGGAGAAAGGCCACAGAAGGCATCGGTGTTGGAAAGTCGAGGGACCGCGGCGCCGTCAGGATCAAGGGCAGATAGGGTGCAAGGTAAGGGAATAACAGATTTAGGTATTTAAACAGTAAAATTTATACATACAAATATAATCCTATTGAAAGTATTTAGGTTCTAATCTTACCAAAACATTTCAGAAAAATAAGGGAACTGTATTAAATTTTTGACGAATTAAAAGACATACCATCTTATTACATTTGTAGCGATAAGCTAATTACGAAAAATTATAACTTTTCTATTCAAAAATTAATTAACAGAATAACAGATCTCATATTTAAATTAAATTTCCAGGTATAATATGATAACTTATTAATTTGTTAACTAAAGTTACTGCCCAAACATTAACTGAGTGTTGACGTTGCAATTTTCATGTATGGGAAACGAAATATTATACTGTAAGCAATGGCATCACAAGAGACCAGGCCCAGGCTGATAAAAGTTTATCGTCTGGTTTTTAAAAACAAAGAATTAGCTTTAGTAATCATTGAGACACAACTTGCATCAGTCCGCGATACATACAAAAATACCTTCCCTTCGGGAATTAATTACGCTTTACGAAAATAAATATTATTAACAGTTTTTAACGTTTTATTCAATATTATTATTATTTTAATTTTGTTTGCGTGGTCAATAAGTTTATCAGACACGAATCCACACAACCACGGAACACATTGACTACTATTTTATTTTATTTCTATAGTTTTATCAAATAAGTAAGTGTGAAAGTAGAACTAAAACTATAATAAGTTCAATAAATTATTAATTTTAATGAAAAGAAGAGTGTTCCATGTTTACAATTTTTATATAATTTAAAATTTTTAAAACCTGTATTATTAGGGCTGGTTTAAAAACGTTAGGAGTAATTAATGTTATACAGATAATAGCTAATTAAGATTATAAAACTCTTATATTGTTGTTCTAAACACTGGTGGATTTGTAGTTATCATATAAGTATGATTGACATAAGTGGATTTTCGTACCATTTTGTCTGTAGCGGATTAGCGGTTTTATCACGTATATCACAGTACTTTTTTTGTAAGCTGATCGTTATCATTAAGATAAGCGAAACGCATGCATGTTGCATGAAAACCAACTATTATCAGAAAGTAAGGTGGCAAAAAGCATCTGTTGTCTACAGAAATCAACAGTCAAGAGCGAGCGAAAAATACGTCCAGTTGCCACCAAAATAAAAATCAGAGAGAGCTTGAAAGGCGCGTTTGTTCTGTATATATATATATATATATATATATATATATATATATATATATATATATATATATATATATATATATCGGAAAAAGGAGTACGACCGTCAATCCAATATATATATATATAAGGATCACTCAGACGAGTGGTGGGTTCTTATATCGGTCTCTAGGTGGAGAAATAAAAGACAAAGTTGATAGGCTACTTTATCTATTTTGAAGACGTTTCGCTTTCGAGTTTTGAAAGCATCATCAGTTCATCTAAAAAATTATTACAATATGAGAACCACACAATCATGGAAACGATGTTAATTGTTACCTTAAAAAGATATGTAGCAGTCAATGTTATTAACAAATATGTGAATGAAACTAAGTAAATGGACATAGTACGCTGATCTTGTATAAACAGTTAAGCAACTAACAACATATATGAACTTGTAAAAAATTAGCACAGCAATTGACCATGTGGTCCAAAATAAATTAAATGTTATTTAATGTTAATAAGTGAGAAAGAACCAAGAAAATCATAAATAACTTCCAACTATTTAATGGATATTAAGCTTTGATTTTAACTTTAGGTAGCATTATAAGTAATATTAATAAAATTCTAAAAAATAGTGAATATGAAGTTACCGATCAAAGCCCTATGGATGTCGCCGTGAAAATGGCGTTAAATGAAACAGGAACGAACTAAACCGCAAAAAGACAGCCAACCTTGAGGTCAAAATTACTTTTGACAGATCAACAAGGTGTAAATACCAACCCAAATTTTGGGCGGTTAATTTAATTTTAACTGAGTTTGGATGACTACCAGGTTGCAAAGGACAAAACAGTGAAAAAAGTTGGTAGTGTAAACACAACTCCCCTCACTAATCAGCCCAAATTTACAAACCGGAGATTTTCATCCAACCTCATAATTATGTAATGACGTTAATCATTATGGCAAGTTAAATAGCCAGGTGGTTAACGATATTATAATTTCCAAACAGCCCAAGGTTCACTATACTTGGAGCTGTGATTTGTAAAGGATTCTATGAATCAATTACAATGTTTGTATTATTGTATATATAATTTGAAACACTAATTAAAGAAATTAGTGTATTGAAATGCAATGTGGGTTGCATATGTAATAGTAAAATTAAGTAAAGAAATTAAGTTATTTAATTGATATATTTATTTATTTTATTTCTATTTATGTATATAAATTGTTTTATGAAAAGTGGACAAAAGTTCAACTAGTACACCTAATATGACATTAATGTAGTGAAAAGATTAAGTAGCCTAATTCTGCAAAATTAAAGCATGATATATCTGGCTCAAGTTACTTATGTCAGTTCTCTTATTCAATGCATTAGGATGTTTTAATATTGAACACATTTCCAAAAACTGTCTTTTAGCTAGATTGCGTTCAGTGGCAAGGATCTTAACTTCATTAAAATCCACTTCATGTTTTGTATTTATCGCATGTTGTGCTAGAGCACAAGTGTGTTTCGATAAATTAATGTCGCTACGATGTGAAGTGAGACGACCTTTCAATGATCTACCAGATTGCCCAATGTAACATAAATCGCAATTAGCGCATGGAATTTTATAAATTGTGTTCACTTGTTCCAAAGTGGACAAGGGTGTTTTAGTTTTAGAGAACAAATTTCTAACAGTTTTTGCATTCTTAACAGCAATTTTAACAGGTATATTATTTTGTTTATACAATTTAATAAGCTTCTCAGTAACTTGAGGGAAATATGGTAAGGAAGAGTAATGTGTGATAGTATTCTCAAGATCGGTATTATGCAGAACAGTGCTATTTATAGAATTATTAGAGATGTTTCTAAGTTGGTCACCATCGGGTATGTCATAAATTGAGGATCCATAACTATGCGAATAAAGGTATTTATTGATGATAGAGGAAGGATATGAATTCTCTATTAGAATATTTCTCAATAACTTAAAGGATTCCCTTCGATTAATTGGATGTGTCAATTTATTTAATCTATAGCTTAAAGCTTTTATAAGGTTTAGTTTGTATTTCATAGGATGACAGGAATGGTAGTTAAGGAACCTATCAGAGGCCATTGATTTTCTATACCAACTTGTGGTTAGGGTGTTGTCTCCCATTCTGATGACACGCATGTCAAGGAAGGGTATACTATTAGTGGTAGTGTCCTCAAGTTCAACAGTGAACTGTAAATGAGGATCAAACTCATTAAAGTGGGATAGGGTACCCTGAACCTTGTCAGGTGGTAGGGCTAATAATAAATCATCCACATACCTTTTAATAAAAGGGATTTGAAAATCCAAAAGACCCAAACGGTCAGAAATCAAATCATCCAATACAAAGTTAACTAGGATGGGAGAGATTGAGGAACCCATAGGTGTACCAAATGTTTGAAGGTAAAATTTGTCATCAAAGACTAAAAAATTAGTGTCAAACACAAGTTGCAACAGTTCTGCAAATATATCCCAAGACACCGGGCAGTTAGGTTTGATAGAATTCCAATGGTTTTTTAAGGAAGTAATTACACTGGACAGAGGTAAGTTAGTGAAAATAGATACCACATCAAAACTTACTAAAATGTAACCTTGAGGTAGTTGAAAATTGTTAATAAATTCACTAAAGTTGAAAGAATCAACAATGTTGAAATCATTGTTGTAATTATATGATTTAGACAAGATGTCTGTTAGAAATTTAGCTATTTTTATATTAGGTGAGTTAATAGATGACACAATAGGTCTCATGCTCAACGTAGGTTTATGTATTTTTGGTAAACAGTAGAATCTTGGAGCATATCCATCATAATTATGTAAAGACTTAGCTAAAGGTTGATCTATGATCTTAATGTTTTTTAAATGTGTTATAAATTTATTTATTTTATTTGTGAATTTAGAACAAGGATTAGAAGAAAGTGGTTGATAGTATCTATCATCATCTAACAGTGATTTACTCAAACTGAAATATTGATCTTTGTCCATAAGGACAGTAGCATTACCTTTAGTCACTCGTAAGAACGAGAAGATTAGGGTGGGTTTTTAAAAACGATACCGTCTCCCTGTAAATCTTATCTAACTCTGATAAGGGTTGCCTAGGGCGTTTAGTGAAATTCAACAAGATGTTGTTAGAAGAAGACCTAAGAGATAGAAGGTCGGAATTGTCCGCATGAGACAAAATATTCTTAACATCTGCTAAGATTCTACTAATTGAGTAGTCCTTGAACGAAGGTTGAAGGCCAAATTTAGGACCCAAAGATAACAGCTTCAGTATGTCAGGAGGAACCTCAATATTAGATAAATTCTTAATCTACTTAGATTAAATGGGATTTTCTTGAAATCAGGTGTGTCTAAGTTATTAAGTTTATTTTTAAGTTTAATCATGGATTTATTATAAAAGTAATTAAATTTTCTATGTAGAGAAGCCTCAAAAGTGTCCAACAAATTGTCAGGTAGGTGACTATCCAGAAACGAAGTAACATTATTTATTTGAAAAGTTAAAGATTTAATATCTGTGTGAACCTTAGAAATATGGAAATTAAGCAATCGCACCCTCACCTGTCTATTTAAAGCTTGGCTTCTACGGTACAGTCCGTTATCTGTGGAACTAGATGTCGATGTAAGGATGAACATGCAACAGACTCATGGTCACGATTTATGTAATAAAAAATAGAGTCACCAGTTAAGGGTTAAAGGAATTTTTGAGTGTACAAATTTTCTATTCAGTTAAATAATTTCTTCAATTTAGTTCTGTATAATATCTGGCTATGTTTCAATTTAACATACACTTTGTTTATCAAAAAGATGATAAAGTATTTATTTATTTGTTATTTATTTATATAAATAAATTTTGATATTCATGCAAATAGAAAAA